GTGTTGGGCCCTGTGCTCCCACTGGCTCCCCACCCACTCACACCCAGTGCCCCCCAATCCTGCGATACAGGCGGGGGGCAGCGCACAGCCCCAACCCCCTGCTCGCCAGCAGGGAAGAAGCTGGTGCTGAGCATGGGGAAAAATGGCCCCTCGCCTGCCCCATGGCCAGCGCTCCCTGCTGCAGGCACTTGTAGCCCACACGGGGCTGTCTGGAGCAAGCACAGGCAGCGTCATGCGGGCTGTATTTTGCCCACCCCTGATATAAGCAGTTTCAAATCTAGCACAGCGGTTCTCAACCTTGACAGACTCGAGGAACCCATTGGAAAATACCAGCTCTTAGTTTTCACTCACATTTTGACTACAGAAAAACAATAGAGCATTTCTTCTTGCCAAGAACTCCAGAAAGACCACATCAGGGCAGAATGGTTTTGCCATCCTGAATTCCTTTTTAAATGTCTGGGTTTATCTTGTGCCTTGTGTATGCACATCTAGGCTGCGTCCAAACGAGCACGGGCATGTGGTATGTGGCACCGCAGACCTGTCTGCGGCATCACACCACACATGCAGGCATGCCTTGCACTGCTGCCTTGAAGCACAGAGTTGGCTTTGTTTACCTTGGGAGATCCTGGGAGCCAAAAAAAACCCACAGCAAAAAAAAGCAGGGTGCCACAGGGCACCAGCATGTGCCACCTAAAACTGGAGCCTGGTCCCTGGTCCACTGGGCCAGGCTCCCAGCTGCAGGAGCCCCACAGCTGCAGCTCCCTAAGGCCCTCTGGTAAGGATGCTGGAGCCAACACAGTCACTAGCTCCAGTCTCCCCTGCCCTACCTGGGGTAACCTGCTGTGTGCCAGAGCACATGTGGCATGGGCATTTCCTGGGGACAAGTAGCAGCAGCGCAAGATGTGCTGCTGCTGCTTGTCTCCAGGGAAATAAATGATCATGCTTGTCTGGACTTGGCCCTAGCAGTGCTAGCTTTGCATGGCACCCTGTGTCACCCTTGAAAGTATCTCCATGCACCCCAAGAGGCCATGGGCCCCTGATTAAGAATCACTGTTCTATGGATTTTTGTCAGAATTTAAATGTTGCCATGCGTCTCTCAGGCTGGAAACAGATGTCACGAGGGTATATAGGACTGGGACCCTGAAGTCCCAAGAGCACCTGTCCAGATTCCCTCAGTTGCAAAGGCATGCCCTGAGAATCCTCTGGCAGGGCATTCCCCAGGCATGTATCACGCTGCTGTGCCCTGACTCAGTGGACACTCGGCAACCAGGGAAACCCCAAGTTATCCTGCTGGCAGAGGCGTGCCCAGGGATTTCAACTTGTGGTGCATCTTTGCAAGCAAAAAAACCTGGGGTTCCCCTGTTTGCAGAGGTCGTCCCTGAGCATTGTCCCACATCATTAGGCCCCAGTCACTCCCAGGAGTGGCAGGTGGCTGACATACAGGACAATGGGAAATGTCTGTTTCGTCCAGTGAAGCAGATCAGCTGTACTGAGACACACCCCATGATCTGCTTCATTTGGTAATGTCCATTTATAGTCTTTGTTGTGAAGAGCCAGATAAATCATATGTTAACTTTTCTGTTCCCCAGTTAGCTGAACATACAAGCAATTCTGACTCTAACAGTAGCATGTGTAAATTTTGAATTCAGTTTCTGTAAATACTGGCATTCACCTCCTTGAAATGTTAAAAAAAGTGATCATGTATTGAGTGAAGAAATATCAGGCAGGTCTTACGTTACCTATCAGCAGGCAGGGAAGGATTCAACCTGGAAGCAAAGTACCAAACACAAATAGTCCAGGATCAGCTCTTGTGACTTACATCACACTCCCAATCCTCCTGGCATCTTTAAGCAATGAGGCACACCAGCACTTCATATAGGATCAAATACACACGTGCACACCATGAACAAAGTGTGCATTGTCTCTATTTTGATAAGGCAGGATCCATAATCACAGTGTAATATATTCCCGGTTGGACCATATTTTTGTTTGCTACAGGACCACAGACTTGTAGAACCATTGAGAATGTATTAAGTTAAAGATTTATACAGTCTGAAGATAGAGATGGCAATCTATGCGGTCTGAAATCAGCCAGAAGATAGGTCACTTAGGGACAAACTGACTTAGTCATGACATTTCAAAGACAACAACCTACTTGTCAGATGCCATTTGAAAGAAGTTAGTACATGTGGCTCTATTTTGCCCTATGATTTTGGCTTCCATGAGTGACACTGAAGATAAACTTTAGTTCTGTGCTCAATATCACTGTCTTCTGTAGTTAGAAGCCAGGATTCGTAGATTCATACATGGTAGGGGCTGGAAGGGGCTGCTCAAGATCATCAGGTCCAGCCCCTCTTCACTTGAGCAGGAAAGACTGCTGGGGTCAAGATGACCCCAGCAGGTGTTTTTTGAAAATATCCAAAGTACGTGATTGTACCACTTCTGGGGGAGGCTATTCTGGACCCTGGACACTCAAGTTGTAGAGAAGTTTTTCCTTATGTTTTTTCCTTAGGAAGCAGTGTTTTCTAAGGTTCACTAGTTTTCATCATTAGCATAAACACATTGCAGCAATCATTCTTTCTAGGCAAAAGGAAAAAGCAGCAATCTACAATTTTTCCTAGTTTGGAAAAGTAGTAAGGAATTTCTTACTACTTTTACCACTGCATTTGCAGAATGTTTCCTTTTCATGAGCTTTGCAGAGCCCTGGGTTAACTGCTGGAACACTACTGAACTTCAAAACTGGTGTACATCTGGACTAGCACAGTGTTTAATCAGGTCCTGTGTCTTCATTCACTTACTCTGTTGTAAATCAGAAAAATCTCTAAGGATGTCAAGAACAGTTTTAACTGGTGCAAGTGAGAAGTGAATCATGCCATTAATGTGGATGAAAGGTGCCAGAGTAACATCAATGGACTTTGCAATCTTTCCTTAAACTATGGAGTGGGTAGATCACAGGTTATAGGCATAAAGCACAAACTTCTCCCTTCATGCTTTCCTCCTATACCAATGTGTTTTGATTCTGAATAGGGATAGAGAGAGGAAGGGTAATTTTATCTCCTGCCTCCATTTGCCAAGTCTACCAGCAAGATCACTACATGCCATGGTGATTTTTCTAACATATCTATCCAGTAAAAAATGTCCAGTTACATAGCATAAGTATTAAACTGGTTAGTACTGTATAAATCATGAGACAGATTGGGGGACAGGCAGGTAGATGTAACATAAACTCATTAAATATTAAGGCTTTTTTGTTACTACCAGCTTAGTTTGGATCAACCCAATACCCATAAGTGAAAGACGGTATAACCCAGGCCCCCATCACCCCAATATTCAAAGGACAAACTAACAGTCACATTTACCTGTAGATTAGAACTTCATCATCAGAGCAGTTATATTGCAGCTGATACATTTTAACCCTTGGGGCTGACTTGCTCACTGTCCACTTAACCAAAGCTGAGGTAGTTGTCACATCTGACACCAAAACAGTCCTTTCTGGTGGAACTTTAGTCTCTCCTCGATTTGACTTGCTGGAGCTGGTGATGTCAGAAAGCCTGGATTTGGGTGGGGCTGCTCGGCCAGTACCGTTGCTAAGGTGCGGGAGCTGAACAATTGAGAGCTCGATGGTGGCAGTCGACTCTCCAGCAGCGTTGGCTGCAATGCACGTGAAAGTTCCATAATCCTTGGATGTGGTGATAAGGATATCCAAGGTGCCATTGTCATAGACAGCCGTTCTTGAGGAATTCCCAATGAGTCGGTCATCTGGAGCCACCCAGTGAATGACTGGGTTTGGGTCCCCAATGGCTTTACACTTTAATGTGGCTGTCTGCCCTTCTAAAACCAGCAGCTTGTGAGTATGCTGGGTAATAAGAGGTGGCTCACAAATAAATTCCTCTTCCCGTACATACCAGAAGTACCTTCCCTTTAGACCAGGAGGAGAAGCACAAGTTTCCATATCATCATCTCTGTCTAGCCGCCTTAACCACAGCAGCTCACAATTACAATGCAGCGGATTGCCCCCAAAGCTGAGAGACAGAGGTGGAGAAAATGGGGTTGCTGCTAATGGAATTACTTGGGACCTGGCAAATATGGGATCAGGGGGAAGTTTCTGAAGTCTGTTGGAGGTTAGATCCAGTCTGGCCAATTTCTGAAGATCTGCAAACGTCCCTTCTGTAATATAATCTATCAGGTTATGGTCCAAACTAAGCTGATGCAGGTTTACCATCTTTCTTATAGATTCCCAAGGGATGCTTCGGAGGTTATTGTAGGAAAGGTCCAAGTCCTCCAGTGTAAGCAAAAAATCCTCAAAAGCTTCATCTGAGATGCGGCTCAGTTGATTGTTGTTTAAAATCAAGTGCTGAAGGTTAATTAAACCTCTCAAAATATCCTCTCCAATACTGGGCAGTCTATTGCTGTCTAGGTGCAAAGATCGTAGGCTCTCTAAGTCAGCAAAGGCATAGGGCTGTATGTAACTGATGGTATTCCTGGACAAAGTGAGGTCAACAAGACCAGACATATTGGCAAAGTCCAGTCGACTGATGTTAATAATGAAGTTGCCCCCAAGTCGAAGTTCAACAGTCCTCCGGTCTATGTCTAGTGGTACAAATAGGAGGCCTTTGGAGGGACAAAGAGTCCCCAGTGACTCAGACAGGTTCTGACAGACGCAATATTTGGGACAAGCATTGACCACGACAGCCATTCCAAACACCAGGATGCTGCAGAGCAATTTTTCCATGGTAAATCCCGCAGCGGTGCCTGCAAAAAATGAAAAGAGTCAGTAATACAGTCAGCAGATTTTCCAGTCACGATTTTAGCTAATATCTGTCTCCAAAGAAATAGCTCATTGTAACCTCCCAAAGTCATTGCTGAGTTTTCCACCCTTTGCAGCATGGGGTGTTAAAATGCAGCTCCTTGAAAGTAGCATCAAAATCTTCCTTCGACTCCTGTTCCCCCCCCCACCCTACTCTCCCATAATAAATTTGTTTTTATTTTGCTTTATTTTTCCAGATTTAGAGTTTTGGTTTCAAATTCAATAGCAATAAGAATCATTAGGCCAGATGGCCATTCATACTGGTTTATGCCTGTTGTTCAGTGTTGATAACTGGCAGCTCTTCAGTTACATGGTAACTTAACAGGCTTATAACCAAATGTTCAGCTGTGGGATAAGGACAAATCTTGTCACCGGATAATACTCTTACTTACAATCAGTAGGAATTAGGTTGCAGAAGTGCCTCTTTCTGTGAGGGTTTAAGCTGCCTCATAATAATTACATATTCCCGCATAATAATGTGGAATTAAACTTGGGGTCAAAAGTGCTGATTTAAAGGATAAAAATAGCCACATGTTTACTCTTCAATCATATGGTAATTACCAAGTAATTTTCCAGATAATCTGTTGGGAAGTCAAGTCAGCCTGCCCATGGCAAAGCCCACCATGGGCAGCTCACAGGGAGGAAGTTTAATCTTTGCATGGAGTTTCTCTCCATCCCATCCAATCAGAATGTTACTCATGTGGGGAAAACAGCATTGCTTCTCTCCACCTACGGCAAATCTACAAGGATTCATGGGAGGTCTGTGCTGGCTTTGGTGACAAACTTTTTAGTACCTTCAGTCCCCTGCACTGCAGTCCTTCTAGTGATGTCTTACTTTTCATAGTATTGTCCACTGGGCCTACAAGGCAGGTGATGTGTCTCATCCTTTACTTGCCTATTGTCAGTGTCTCAGCTAGCGGGTACCCACCCACATCCTAAGCGCACAGGACAGGACACCCGAGGAAGGAAATGGAAGCTGAATACCTCTTCCATATATAAGAAAAAACTCTATACTTAGAGTCCTCTTGACATGTAGGACTTGTTGAGAGAGGAAGCAGTTTGAGTGTTGGTGTTTAACTGGGCTAAATATTAATATATGGATCAAAATCAGATCTTTGGGGCCTTTGTTCCTTGAAATATCATATATTAGTGGGGTATCAAATTATACAGCAACTGGAAATGTGATTTCTGTTCTGAAATTCTCCATGGAGTTTCACAGACCTAAGTACCCATTCCCTCCCCTTCTGACCCCTGCTGTCTTCTCATCCTGCTAGAGCCATCCTACGTTCTAGCCCTTCAGTTTGCTTATGGAAGAACATTCTTCTTTCCATAACTTGTCATCTCTGTCATCTTTCCATATGTCCCTGTATCATCAACACCATCTTTTTTCTCAAATCTTACCTGCAACCATATTTTCCCATTTGGGTTCATGAGGACTAATTCAAAGAAAAAAACAAACCACCCTTATAGATTGACTCAGAAGGCTAGACTGTGACCTCAACTACACATCTGAACAGGAAAGTCAGAACACCACCTGCATCTGCCAGCATAGGCTTGCTGACATTGTGTCTAAGTGCATAGGTTTCATACCTGATTTCTTCAGACCTTGGCCACTCACCCCAATCAGATAAGAAAGAAGAGATACCAGGTCTTCCTCTGAGAATGGCAAGCTAGGATGGAATTGTATCTCTAAGAGGTGTCTCTCTGGCATGACATTTCCTAGGGTTTATTCCAAGGATGGTCTACCTCTTGCTCATGGCTGGGCCAACCACTAATGACTTCACCTTCATTTGACCTGCATCACCACTACCCTGCTACATTTCTAAGGTGCAATCATTGCATTTAATGCGATCTCTCAGAAGGGTGTTTTTGGTAAGCATTTGCAGTAGGGTTGTGCAAAGCTTCGATCCCTGATTCCATTTGGTGGAGATTCAGCTAGATTTGGAGGCTGAATCTTTGAATCCAAATTGAATCAGGAGACCCTTTAATCTCTCTGGATTGAACTGGAACCCTCTGAATTGATTCAGAGAGATTCAGAAAGATTCAGCAATTCGGACATAGACACAGCTTTAAATGTTTTTTCTACATACATCAAGGTACCAGGTGGCTCATCAATGCTTTGATGCTGGGGCAGATGGAGAGTCTCACAGAAGCACAGGGGGCTCCCCAGCACGCTTGGCAGCACACCCGAAAGTGGACCAGAAGCACTTCTTGTCCACTTTCGGGTCCTCCGGGGAGCGGGCTGGGCCCCCTCCCCAACCCCTCCACACCACCCTGGCTCAGCAACTGGTGCCTCCTGTGTCTGCAGGGGGGGGCACCTGGGGTCTCCCTGTGGCTGATTGCCAAGCTGGGGGGGGGGGAAGGCAGGAGGCCCCCCCCGCACTCCCCAGTGGACCCAGAAGTGGACTGGAACTACTTCCAGTCCACTTCTGAGTTTGCCGTCGAGCATGCAGGGGGACTCCCCCACGCCCCTGTGGGACGCTCCATGCGCCCCAGTATCGCAGCATTCACAAGTTCACAAGCTGGTACCTCGAGGTACGTAGAAAAAACAGTTAAAGCTGTGTCTATGTCCGAATTGCTGATTTTCTGAATCAGCATTGAATCTTCAGATTTGGATTCGGCCGAATTGAATTGGGGACAGGGATCTGAAACAACAAATCAAATCACTGTCCCCAATATGGGCTGAATCCAAATTGAATATGGCCTGCTTTGCACACCCCTAATTTGTAGTCATTATACTGACTCATGCAGCTCATTATCTTTTATACTGAGTAATGATAACCCACCTATTTCATTATCTGCACTGGAAGAAGTAGTAAACTAAGCCTCAACCAAGGCAGGAATGTTTTATACCATAACATTTACTTAGGGTTATTCTGGCCATGCATATTGTAGGTGATAAATAATCATCTGTGTCTAAAATGGCTTGGAGAGATGTTACTGCTGCACTCATGCTGATATATTATATATTATGATATTATATAGCAGTTCCAATAATTAACACTGTAATGCCATTCAGTTTTCAGTACACAAGAAACAGGTTTTAGAAAGAGAAAAAAAGAAAAGAAAAGACCCTATTTTTTCCATTTCATCCCAATGTTGAAAAGACACTTGTCCAGATAATTTATGATAGAAAATATGCAAGTTGGTTCCTAATCTTCTCAAACTGGAATTAAAAAATCTATTACTTTTGTGGGAGCATCCTCATG